CTAACAATTTAACAAGAAATCTTAGATTAGTAGATACGTGGTACTAAGAAAAAAAAATGAATTTCAACTATACCTACTAACTTACCATAAACTAAAGCTCTCTTTGTCGTATAAACATTTTCTCCAAACGCGAACACTTACTCTTAGCTTCCTCCTTAGTTGTACGTAATAGATAGATTGTCCGTGATGTTTCAAGAAAACTTGCATTACCTCTGCATGAACATTGCAATTGATTTGCCCTCAGAAATTGATGTCTCCAACAAACAGAAATGGCACTTAGCTTTTGCTACCATCTATTGTTCGAGAGCTTTCAAATTAAATAAGACGGCCAGCACAAAGGTACTATCACCTGTCCTTGTGCCATCCTACAGTCCAAGAAAAGTCCGCGTATCAGCGGATACAATCTCCATTGATGTAGTTCAAGAACACTCTTTATTCTCAGGCATTGATCAGTCAAGTCTAGCTAAGCTTGTCAAAGATAAAAGTGTTGACAAGCTTGCTAATCTTGGAGGTGTACACGGTGTTGCTACTTGTCTCAAAAGTGACACAACTAATGGTATAAATGGAGATCTAGAAGACGTTTCACGTAGACATGAAGCTTTTGGAAGCAACACGTATCGTAAGCCACCTACTAAAAGTTTCTTCATCTTTGTCTGGGAATCCTTCAAAGATCCCACAATCATTATTCTTTTGTTCTGTGCTGCTTTGTCTCTTGGATTTGGAATTAAGGAGCATGGACCAAAAGAAGGATGGTATGATGGAGGGAGTATTTTCGTCGCTGTGTTTCTTGTCATCGCTGTTTCGTCTATCAGTAATTTCAGACAAAACAGACAATTTGATAAGCTATCCAAAGTGAGCAAAAATATCCCAGTAGAAGCTGTTAGAAAGGGGAGGCGCCAACAGATATCCATATTTGAAATTGTGGTTGGAGATGTCATTTGCTTGAAGATTGGAGATCAAGTACCTGCTGATGGGATTTTGGTACAAGGTCATTCTTTACAAGTAGATGAATCTAGCATGACAGGTGAAAGTGATCATGTCGAGGTTAACCTTAGCCAAAACCCATTCTTGATTTCTGGCACTAAGGTTGTCGATGGCTATGGCATGATGCTTGTGACATCGGTTGGCATGAACACGACCTGGGGTGAGATGATGAGCAAAATTAGCGGTGATTCTAACGAGCAAACACCTCTCCAAGAACGACTCAACAAGCTTACTTCATCGATTGGTAAAATTGGATTGCTAGTTGCTTTCTTAGTACTTGTCGTCCTATTGGTACGTTACTTTACTGGGAACACAAAAGATGAGAATGGGAACAAAGAATTCAACGGGAGCAAGACATCATCGGATGATGTGATCAATGCTGTGGTAGGAATTGTTGCTGCTGCAGTTACAATTGTTGTTGTCGCGATTCCTGAAGGATTGCCTTTAGCTGTTACACTTACTCTGGCTTATTCGATGAAGAGAATGATGGCAGATCAGGCAATGGTGAGGAAGCTCTCTGCTTGTGAGACCATGGGCTCTGCCACCACAATTTGTACAGACAAAACAGGTACTCTTACATTAAATAAGATGACTGTCACAAAAATTTTCTTAGGCAAAGAGCACGTAAAGGCAAAAAGTCAGTCACCAATTTCAGCCAAAGTTCTTGAATTATTCCATCAAGGGGTTGGATTAAACACTACAGGTAGTGTTTTCAAGTCCTCCGATTCAGGTTCGAGCTTTGAATTCTCAGGCAGCCCAACTGAAAAAGCTATTCTTTCATGGGCTGTGCTGGACCTGAATATGGATATGGATCAAGTCAAGAGAAATTTCAACATTCTTAACGTGGAAGCTTTCAATTCGGAGAAAAAGAAGAGTGGCATAATAATCAAGAACATTACTGATGGAACAATTCATGCACATTGGAAAGGTGCTGCAGAGATGATTTCAAGAATGTGCTCCCATTACTATGATGCAGAAGGGAACATGAAAACTCTAGAGAAATCAGACAAGGAAGAATGTGATCGGATAATTGAAGGAATGGCTGCCAGCAGCCTTCGATGTATCGCCTTTGCACACAAGCAATTGCCAAAAGCTGAGCAGGAGGATCATGAACAAATACATGGAAGTATTCCAGACAACTCCTTCATTCTTTTGGGTTTCATCGGCCTAAAAGATCCATGTCGACCTGGTGTAAAGAAAGCTGTGGAAGATTGCCAAAATGCTGGTGTGAATATCAAGATGATCACTGGCGACAATGTGTTCACTGCAAAAGCCATAGCCACAGAATGTGGGATTCTTCATCCCGATTTTGAAGCAGATGAAGGAGCGGTCATAGAAGGTGAGAAATTTCGCAACTTAACAGATGAAGAACGCATGGAGAGAGTGGAGAAGATTCGCGTGATGGCAAGATCATCCCCTTTTGACAAACTTTTAATGGTGCAGTGCTTGAGAAAGAAAGGTCACGTGGTCGCGGTCACAGGTGATGGCACGAATGATGCACCAGCTTTAAAGGAAGCAGATATAGGACTTTCTATGGGGATACAGGGCACTGAAGTGGCTAAAGAGAGTTCAGATATTGTCATTTTGGACGATAATTTTGCTTCAGTTGTCACTGTTCTGAAATGGGGAAGATGTGTCTATAACAACATCCAGAAATTCATCCAATTTCAGCTCACAGTAAATGTGGCCGCACTTGTGATCAATTTTGTAGCAGCTGTTTCAGCTGGTGAGGTACCACTCACAGCAGTGCAGTTGCTATGGGTAAATTTGATCATGGACACATTAGGGGCACTAGCACTTGCAACAGAGAAGCCAACCAAGGAACTCATGAAGAAGCTACCAGTCGGTAGGACTGAGCCCCTTATCACCAACATTATGTGGAGAAATCTAATGGCTCAGGCCTTGTATCAGATTGTTGTTCTATTGACCTTCCAATTCAAAGGCGAATCAATCTTTGGCGTCAACGAGAGGGTAAATGATACTTTGATTTTCAACACATTTGTTCTTTGCCAAGTGTTCAACGAATTTAATGCACGAAATCTGGAGAAGAAGAATGTTTTCGAGGGAATACACAAGAACAAGTTGTTTGTGGCAATCATTGGAATCACTTTGGCTCTTCAAGTGGTGATGGTGGAGTTTTTGAAGAAGTTTGCAGATACAGAGAGGTTGAATTGGGGGCAATGGGGCATCTGCATTGGTTTGGCAGCTGCATCTTGGCCTAATTGGTTGGCTAGTCAAGTGCATAACTGTCCCAGAGAAACCAGTTTTCAGTTATCTCAGGTTGAATTACTTGAAAGCCGTGTTTAAGTGAGTAGATTTTGTTGTTTTCTTTTTCATAATTTGCAGTAGTTTTAATTTGTTAGTATGAGTATAGTTGATTAAATGATTGATTGATATTGCATTCCTTACTTACTCAATACTTGTATTTTCATGTGTTAATTTTTAAATAAGGAGTTGTACAGAATTCTTCTACTACATTTACAAGACGACTTAAAAAATTTATATATGCATACACCTTTCATTACATTCCGGTAGT